GCTCTGCCTGGGGGTGGGCACCTCCAGGGCCCACATGCTGGGTCTTACAGGAACTGCAGGAGCTTCTAGATGGAAAGGGCAGGGACTGGTGAAGGGACTGGCCTGGGCAAGGGTGGAGAGGGGCAGGGGGGTGCAGGGCGGGGGCACGGAGTGGTTGTGTTGGTGTAGATTTGCCACCGCAGCCCCTCATCAAGCCTGGCCGTGCCCAGCAGTGGCTGGCTTCATGGTGGGAGGAGGTGAGGGTGTGAATTGCCCCCTTCCCTCTACCCCACCTCATCCACAGGAATGGGGGCAAACCCCATCATTTGCATTTGTTTGGGGCCGAACTGTGTCCCCCAAAATGTGGACGTTGGAGCCCTACTCACCAGGACCTCAGACTGCAGCCGCAGCTGCGGCGGCTAGGGTCTTTCAAAGGCGACTGTTGTAAATCAAGCTTGTGGAATGGCCCCGATCCAATCCGCTGAGGGTCCTTATAAGAAGCGGTGAGGACACAGACACACAGGGGACAACCCTGTGAGGTCACAGGGAGAAGACGGCATCTACGAGCCCTGCCGGCTGCCCTGCCTGGAGCCCTGTGCCAGGCACTGACAGGTGCAGCGGGCACGGAGGCTGGTGGCTGCCCTCGGTCTTGTGGGAATGAAAAAGAGCAGCTGGAGGTGTCTGTCCCTGGGCCAGGAGCCCTCTGCTCCCTCCTCTCCTCTCCCCAGAGGGAATCCCTCCTTTACATCTCAGCTGAGGATTCAAAATCACTAAGTAGCCAGGAAATGACACTGAACATACCTCAGTGGATGAAAAGTAAACAGCCTAAGGTCCATGCACATGAAGGCAGGTGTGCCCATTTGGGCAGAAAAAGGGAGGACGCCCTGGCACATGTCACAATGAGAATAAGCCTCAAAACGCCATGCAGGCCCCGTGGTGGGGGAGGTGTGCCTTCCATCCCACCGCTTTGCAGTGGCTTCTAACTTTTCCGGAAGCAAAACCGGGGACTTGGAGGATCAACGGTTTCCCTCTCCCCACTGCTCAGGTCCCGGCCCCGCAGCCAGAAGGAGCATTCCAGTCTTCTGGCCTCATCTCCCAGCTGTGTGACCCCGGACAAGGCACTTCACCTCTCTGAGCCTCCCTTTCTCATCTGTAAGGCGGGGCTGATCAGGGCTGCTCCTAGGATTTCAAGGGACTCTGGTCTGGTCTCCGAGTGACACGGGCAGGCTGGGTCTCTCTCCACTGCTCTTGGGGACAAGGAAAGGGGTGGGAGGATGGGGGGGCAACATAATTAGGAGAGTTTGGGGCTGGGAGTCAGCACCACATCTGACAGTCCCTGGCTGGCCAGCTGCAGCCACACCACGAGACCCTGTTCTCTGCCCTCTCTCGGCCCCAGGTCTCTCTTCAGGGGAAGGGGCTAGTGGCAGACTCAGGTACCAGATAGGGCTGGGGGTGCTCTGGGGGACAGGGTCCCAGTGCAGAGGTTCGGGGACTGCAGGGAGGAGTACTTGGGCTGGGCCTGGAGCATCCAGGCTGGGCTCTGGAAGAGACCAATTAGTCAAATGTCTACGGCTGACCATGTGGAAGCAATTAACAGAGTCGCTATTAGCGCATGGCGCCCCCCGCCTGGCTCTGTAAGGGAGGGAGAGGGGTGAGGTCGCCATTATGTGGGTGCCTCTGCCCAGCCCCAGTCACAAGACTTCGTGGTCTAGACCCCTGCTCCTGCCAGGCAGATGTGGAGGAAACAGGTTCCCCTTCCTCAGCTGGGCCTGAGGGTCCCAGAGTCTCAGGGTGGGGTCTGGGGGCTTTCTGGGCTAGAAAGCTCGGCAGGTTTAGATGAGTAGGCAGAACTCACTAGGTGGGTGAGAAAGGGGCTGGAGGCCGGCCCGGAAGCTGTGGGAAGTGACCTGGAGGTCCACGAGGGTGGGTGGGCATCCCCAGGGTTCCCCAGCAGGGCTGGGGCAGCTGAAGAAGGCAGCCTTGGGCTGCAGACAACTTTCCCTGACTGCAGGGTGGACGGGGGATGGAAAGCCCGGGCTGAAGGCTGCCACCAGCGAGGGGAGAAGGGAAAACCTGGCCCACAGAGCTTGGCTGCCTCGGAAGTCACGCTCACCGGAACGGTAGACAGTGATCCAGGGCCGCCGCGAGGGACCACGGGCAGGGCACCGGCTGTCCTGGTGTAACTGCGAAGGGCACCCCCTTTCACTCTCAAAGCCAGTGAATTTGCATAATAAACTGTGGCACCCTGTGGCTGGAGCACGCCCGAGCTGATGTGTGGCCAGAGACTGACTTCGAAGGGGTAATGCCACTCAGTTTCCCGCATTTCCTCTGGGGCATCACACACAGCAGAAACCGGCATCTCAGGAGCAACACTTGGAGGCCACGGCCTCATGGCAAGGAAGTGGCCAAGCCTTCTTTCATTCATTCACTCACTCATTCATTCATTCATTCATTCTAGGAGTATTCACTGTGTGGCTAGTGTGTTAGGCGCTGCCTAGGAGCTGAGAGCCTCTTGCCCTCCCCCTGAGCTTCCCTCCTATGGGGGGGGTCACCCTCGGACTCCAGCTCCAGGGAAGCAGCTCCTGCCCTCATCTCGGATTCTCGGGCACAGGGGGACTGGGCTGTGGGCAGGGGAGACCAGAGCCGGGGAGTCTCCCTGGGAACTGCTGGGGATCCGAGGCGTGGAGCAGGAGGGACAAGTCTACCCAGATTGCCTTGGTCAGATGTTTCTAGCTCCTCCCCGTCTTCCAGAGGGGTTCCTGCCAAGGAAGGAGGTGGCCGGGGCCTAGACAGGAAAGGGGCATCGGCAGTACCCCGGCCCCGGCGGGCTGCTCTTGCTCTCTCTGTCTTCAAATGTCAATATGTCTTCTCTTCTCTCTCTGCCTGACCGTGTCCCTCTCTGAATTTCTTGTGTCCCTACCCCCGGCTCTATATCCTCTCTTCTTGGCCCGGCATCAGGAGGCAGCAGAGCTAAGGCGTTTAGAGCAGGGACCTCCTTCTAGTGCCTCTTCCATGCCTCTTAGGGAGCCCAGGTGACCACACGCCCCAGCCCAGGCCGGAAACTGAGTGGCATCACCCCTGCAGTCTCCGGCCATGCCTCAGCGCAAGGCCTGCGGCGGACAAGCACTGCTCTTGTTTCTGTCCTCTGGGGCTTTCCTGGCACCACCCTGTGACCCGGTCCTACAGTCTCCATCACCGAGGGCCTGAGGCTCCATCAGTTGGGTGGCTGTGTTCCAGGACTGTTCCAGTACTCTCACAAGCTGGGGCAGCGACTAGAGAGACCCTGACTGAGGCTGAGGTACTCGGGGATGGCTTGGGGGTGCCCTCCTTCAGGAAGGCCATCTGGACCCTGCGCACGCTGGAGTGAGCTCAGGAGGACACACAGCCCTGTGTGTATTGGGCCATGGGGGCTGGGCATGTCCGAGGGGTGTGTGCTCGCTGCAGCAGCTCAGGGTACCCTGCACACTTGTCTGACCCCAAGCACCGGTGCTGGTGGCAGGGTGGGGAATGTCAGCCCGCCCCCCAACTCACCCCAGAGCCCCTGGTCAAACTGGAGCCAAAGCTGTGGCCTAGACCTCTGGGCCCCACAGGGTGCCCTACTCTGGGGTGGGGTCAAGACAGGCAAAAACCCTGTGCTGGCTCCTGCTTCCTGCTGGCCCCAGAACCCTAGGGGACAGAGCACTGGGAAGCAAGGGAAGTGGGTGGGGACGTAGCTTTTCTGGATACTTTCTGAAGCCCCTCTTTGTGAGGCCACCTGAGATATACCCTGACCCCCACACAGTCCAGGGGACCCCCCACATCTGCTCTGCTTCAGACCTTCCAGGCCGGGACTCCCCTGACACCCGTTCCCTGCCCCTGCGCGGCTCCTCCTCTCATCCCAGACCCGCTGTGGCTGCCACCCTCCCGGTGCTTTTCTCTGGGTGTCCTCTACGGCTCTCTGGTCCAGTTCATCTCTCTGCTTCGTGTCTCCCCGGCCTCCGCTCTTGGCCGATCTCTATCACTCACATTCCCCTGGCCTTTCCCGTCCTCTCCTCCTCCGCTTTCTCTGTCTCTATCTGCATCTCTTTCTAGGGCTCTCTGTGTGCGCCCACTTCTCTGGCTCTCGCGTCCCTCCTCCCGCCTCCCCAGGCCCCTCTCTGGACCGCCACTGGGACAGGATCCTCTGAGGCCCGCCCGACTTGCACGAACCCCGACACCCCGGGCGCCAGGTTGGGGTGCGCGGCAGAAGACAGCATCTCCCAGCCCCGCCCGCCACGCTGAGGACAGCGCTGCGGCTCCTGCAGGAAGCGCCGGGCGCAGACACAAACCCGGGGCTCCCCATGCGTGCCCGCGCCCCAGAGCCTCCCCGCCGCCGCCCTCCGCGGTCCCCTTCACTATGCGCCGCCTTCAATGGGCGTGTGTCAGCTCCACTTCCCCGCACGTTGTTTTCACGGGCATCAGTCATCGGCGGCGGCCCCATTGTGCCTGGGGATTGATGGGGAGCGGGAGGGGGTGACAGGGCCTGGGGCGGCAGCCTCAAGGCCTCGGTCTATAATTTTCGGAGGCATAATTGGTCTAGGGGAGGGGGAGGGGCTGGGAGGGGACCTTTCAGAGCCCGGAGGGCGTTCGGGGGCGTGGGGCACGCTGCGGAGCTGAGTTCGACGGCGAAGAGCTGGCGACGAGCGTTCGCAGGCGGCGCCCGGCACGAACCCCGAGCCCCGCGGGGCTCCCCACCCGCCGGCCCCCCGCCCCTCCCGCGCCTCCGCCTGGGGACCACGTCGGCCTTTTGTTGCCGAACTCTCCTTTCTTTCAGAGCTTTGCGCAGCAACGGAAATTTCATTGCTCCTGGGTGGAAATTAAAGGGACTCGGGTTCGCTCTCTCCCTCTCCCTCTCTCCCTCTCCCTTTCTCCCTCTCTTCCTCTCTCCCTCTTTCCCTCTCTCCTGCTCTCTTTCTCTCTCGCGCACCATTCCCCCTTCTTCCTCCACCTTTCCCAAGGAGCCGGAGTCAGCACCGCCAGGCGCGGGAGTCCGCTCAGAGCGCCTCGCCGCGGCCGGGCTGCCGCCCCTTCCATGGGCGCCGCGCTCGCCTGCAGCCGCCGCCGCCGCGGGGCGGGCGCGATGCCACGATGGGCCTGATCTGGCTGCTGCTGCTCAGCCTCCTGGAGCCCGGCTGGCCCGCGGCGGGCCCTGGGGCGCGGTTGCGGCGCGATGCGGGCGGCCGCGGCGGCGTCTACGAGCACCTCGGCGGGGCGCCCCGGCGCCGCAAGCTCTACTGCGCCACGAAATATCACCTCCAGCTGCACCCAAGCGGCCGCGTCAACGGCAGCCTGGAGAACAGCGCCTACAGTGAGTGCCCGGGGCTGCGGGGCCCCACGGGGGAAGCGGCGCCCGGGAGGGAGAGGTCGGGCCCGGGAGAAGGCGCGGCGCGCCCAAGGTGTCCGGGAAGACCGGCTGCCTCCAGCGGCCAGAAGGCGACTGCCGGGGCGCCCTCCTCGCCCTCCACGTCGGGTAGAAGAGCGCGCGCTGGGGTCCGAGCAGAACTCGGGGGGATGGGCGCTCACGTCCGAAAGGGGCGCGGGAGGCCGCTGCCCGAGGTCGGGACCAGCTGTCAGAGTTCGTCTCTGGCCCTGCCCGCTAGTCTGGGGGGTCGCGAGCTAGGCACCCCGGGACTCCCGGCTCTGCTGCGCTTGGCAGCTCTGACAAGTTTAAGCCCTTTGAATGTGTCAGAGAAAAGGAGTTAGACAAGGCATTTATCATCGTCTTTATTATTTTGACGACTTCTCCTCCTCCTGCCGACCTCTGTACGCCCCGCCGTCCCCTCCGCCCTCCTCACTCGCGGCTGCCCAGGTGGCCGCCCCCGCCGCTGCCTCTGCAAGGAGGATTCTAGCCTGGCGGAGCTCGGTTCCCTGGCCGCCGCCGCCACCGCCGCCGACAATTATTCTCCGCGCTGGAATCTACACCGCTCCCACCTCCGCCCTGGCCGCACCGCCACAGGAGGGTGGGGGCCCTTGCCACCGGGACACGCGGCTGTGGAGCGCGGAGCGGTGTCCCCTCGGGCCTGGGGGCGCAGACACACACACTCCAGCCCGAACGCAGAACTGCGGCCCGGGCTGCGCTCACCGTGGGAGTCCGCCTGGGTCCATGGTTGGGCTCCTCTAGTGGCAGGGACCTGGGGTCCATTCCGAGCCCTGTGAGGAGCAGGAGAGCCAAGCTCAGGGCCCGGGAAGGCCGCGTGGGGAGTGTGGGAGGGCGGTCAGGACCACCGCGATCCTCCGGTGCGCCATGCGGCGCTCGGCTCCGGCCCCGGGCGCAGGAAACTGTGCGCTGCACTCCAGGTTGCAGCGGGAAACCGCGGCTTCCTCCTGGAAAGCCGCAGCCTTGCGAGGGCGTCCTGGGGAGACGCACCTCCAGGGCCGCAAGGCGGGCACCAGCTGTCGCCAGGGGGGCCCAGTGCGCGGAACTCGTCTCACAAAGATATCTCGGTTCTCTCCAAAGCCAGGCTCCCCCTCGGAGTCGCACAGCATCCAAACTTCTTCTTGGTGCTGGCTGTTCAGGGGCAGGGGAAGGCGCGCGCCCGCAGCCGCCCCAGTCCCTGTGTCGAGACTCGGGCTTCGCTGGTCCCCGGGTGGGCACCGCTGAGGCCGCCCAGCCTGCGCACTGGGAAGGCGAGAGGCTCGCAGCCTGCACCCCAGCGCCCTGGGCTGGAGCAAAAACCCGTTGACCGCAGCCCTGCTGGGACCGCGTGCCAGGAGCGCGCTCTCGAGAGTCATCCCTTGTAGAGGGTGCAGGCAGTTGCCCCAGTCCCCTCAGAGCCTCTGTGGGGAGACAATGACCCCAACCTGGCCTTTGGTGCAGTCCGCCAGCCCCAGCCCCACCACAGCACCCGTTTATCCAGAAGGAAAGGCGGGAGGGGAGGTTTAAACTTTCTTACCCCTGGGAAGTGGATGAGACCCGCCCAGCTTCCCTCTAGGAGTTTCAGGGTCTAAACCGGCTTCCTGCCCCCCCAGGCCCCTGGCGGGTACAACAATCTCCCACCAGGTCCATCACCAGCTGCGTGTGAGTGGCAGGCGCCCTGGCTGTGTTGTTGCCAGTGGGTTATTTTATCAGCCTGGTTCATGGGGCCCAGCTCTCCCGCTGGCTGGCACAGGCACTGGGGACCCCGCAGGCCCAGAGCTCAGACTCACGTGTCTGCCGCCAGGGCTTGACTTACCGCTCAGGCACATGTGCCAGGGCCTGGCAGCCACCTGGCCATAGTGGTCCCCACTTGCTTGTCTGTCAGATGATGGAGGCAGCTGGCAAGGTGTTGTGAGGCTGGCATGGAAACCGTGGTGCTGGCAGAGTCAGCGAGTGGAAAGGTTCATTTTATTCTTTCCTGCCCAGGTTTGAATGACTCCCTTTGGAGAAGCCTCCCCTGATGTCCCCTTCTCTACCTCCTATCTGGTGACTTCTCCCTCCCTGAACTTCCACTCACTCCCTCACCTGTGGGGTGTGGCTACCTTCCCCAGCCCTGAGCCCGGGATGTGGCTTTGGGCAGGGCCAGCTGGGCCTCAGCCAACTCCTCCGTGGCTTTGTGGGGGGCAGCAGGAGTGATGTTTCTCTCACTTCTTCCAGGTATTCTGGAAATAACGGCGGTGGAGGTGGGCATTGTGGCCATCAGGGGGCTCTTCTCTGGGCGGTACCTGGCCATGAACAAGAGGGGTCGGCTGTATGCTTCGGTGAGTCCAGGTTTCCACGTGGGTGGGCGCTGAGGGAATAGCGGTCTGGCCTGCACGTCATGCCAGGGAATGGGAGATGCGGGCAGAACAACGCTTTGCCCAGCCCAGGGCATGTGCGACCTGAGCTGGAACCAGACTCTGGCCCGGGGCTCCACATGCAGTAATCTTTAGCTGTGTCTGTTAGAAGCTGCTCCTCGAGTGACTGGAGCCCGGCCCTGGGGTCTCGGGTTCTGCAGAATGCCGGGCTAGCAAAGGGTGATGATCAGACCCCAACCTGATCATCACCACCGCCCTTCTCTGAGAGTAGCTGAGAGCAGGGAAGTGATTGTCCCCAAATTTCCACCAAAATAAATGGACCCAAGACCACCCACGAGTGTTCCTTGAGGCAGCCAGAGTGCTCCTGGGAGTGTGGAGAGGATGGCGCTGGCCCAGCTCTGCCAGCTCTCTCCAAGGGTGGAAAGGGGAGAGCTGCAGCATGGGAGGGAAAGGAAGGTGGGGCCCATGTCCCAGGCACACAGGGTCCTTGGAGCCCGGGTTTGGGACCCAGTCTCTGTACTGCCTGGGCCTCTGCGTAACCAAAAAGAGTCTCCTCACTCGGTGGGTATGGCAGTGCCCCGCCCCATAAGGGGTGGGGGTGGAGAATACACAGAGTAAAATACATGTAAGGGGAATGTGCTACCTCCAGCTATTCATTACATGCAATTTGGCTGATACTTCCTTGGGCAATGAGAGGCTTTCCATCCACTTGTAGCCTGGACGACGCAGCCCGAGGACGATCTCCCTGCAGTGAGCTCTCCACAGTCGGGCTCACCGGGGAAACAGCCCGCCTCTCCTCTCGCATAAGCCGAGGATTTCAGCAGATTTTTAGCCATTTTGCTAAATGAAGGGCCGGAAAGCTGAGATGCAGCCCTTTGCTTTCTTTTTTCTTTCTTCTTCTTCTTCTTTTTTTTTTTTTGGTAATATCAGGATCTACTCTGCAAAATGCCATTGCCTTTCTTTTTTCTTTTCTTTCTTTTTTTTCTGGTCGGAGTCTCGCACTGTCACCCGGGCTGGAGTGCAATGGCACTATCTCTGCTCACTGCAACCTCTGCCTCCTGGGTTCAAGCTATTCTTCTGCCTCAGCCTTCTGGGTAGCTTGGATTACAGGTGCCCACCACCATGCCTGGCTAATTTTTCAGCTAATTTTTTTGTATTTTTAGTAGACAGGGTTTCACTATGTTGGCCAGGATTGTCTCAAACTGCCGACCTCGTGATCACCCGCCTCAGCTTCCCAAAGTGCTGAGATTACAGGTGTCAGCCATTGTGCCTGACCCACCCCTTGGTTTTCTCTGGCTCAGAGGCCACTCACTGGAAGCTGTGTCTGGGAGCAGGGGTCCTCCTGGTGCCAGCTTCTGCTATGGGAGGCTCAGGATTTGGGGAGACAGAACAAAACATGATGTGAGGGGGTCCCGATGGTTCAGAGCCCACTCGGGGCTTCCATGCCTGAGAGCTCACAGCCTGGCTTTGGGAAGGGTGGACAGAGGCTCCTAGCCCTACCAGGGACGCTGAAGCCAGGGGTAGCCGAGCAGTCTGGCTGGAGGGTGTGGAACTTTCCCGAGTGCCCAGTGGAGAAGTTCCCACAGCCCTGCGGACACCCTGGGAGGCACATAGCCTGGATGCCAACCCTGTCACCTGCTGCCTGGTGCCACAGACCTTCATGCAGCCAGTTTGCCTAGGAGTGCTGTCCCACTGTGGGGCTCCCTGGACTTGGCCAGCAGCATGCCTGCCCTCAGGCCAGCTCATCCCTCTGGGGGCCAGTGACCACCACACCCGACACTCCTGGGTCCAGCCCTGACCTCCCTTCTGAGGTATAGACCACCCTCCCGCAAAGTCCTTCTGCCTCTGACATTACAACCAAGCTCAGCAGCTCCCCAACTCTCCACCTTAATCGTCACCCCACTGGCCACTAACTCTCACCCAAAGCGGGCTGGGAGGCATGGTCGACCCCATCTCCAGCCCTCAGACCACGCCCCTGCATCTCTCTCTTCAGCCATCTGTTTGGATCTGTTTGTCAAGCCATCCATCCATCTACCTTTCCTTCCCCCTTCCCTTCCTTCCTACTTACTTACTGCCCTCCCTTCTTCCCTCCCTGCCTTCCTTCCTTCCTTCCTTCCTTCCTTCCTTCCCTCTTCCTTCATTCCATTCACCCTTCTGCCCATACACCTGTCCTTCCTCCTTCTTTCCTTTCTCTCTTCCTTCCGTCCATTCTGGCCAGCTGCCCACCCACCCATCCGTCCCTCCGTGATTCCTTCTTTCCTCCCTTCCACCCACCCATCCGTCCCTCCGTGATTCCTTCTTTCCTCCCTTCCACCCACCCATCCATCTGACATTTGGTGCTTCATTCGCCAGTGTCCTAGGCACTTACCATGTGTTGCACTCTGCTTGGTACATGTTAAGGGGACTTGCTAAAAAGCAGATTGGCCCAGGTCATAGCTTCTGAGGACTCCCGTCACGCACAGGCATCCCCCAGGCACCTTAGCTCCACCCACAGAGCAGCAGCCCAGGTGCCATCTGCTCCCAGGGTGGTTGTCATCCACAGGTTCTGGCTCCTCCAGCCTCTGGAAGCTCCCTCCACTCTCCAAGCCATCTGTGCTGGTCACCCCACACCCTCACTGCCTGGAACGCCCTCCTCCCAGAAAATGCCCACTAGGAAGTGCCCGCCCCACCCTACGGCTCTCTTCAGAAGTCACCTCCTCAACACAGTGGCCTTGGAGTCCCCTTCCTCCCCACCCCTCTAGGGTGGAAACGGTCCTGGGGAAGGGGACTGTGGGACCAGGTCAGCTCTGGGGTCTGTGGCACTGGACCCTGAGCTGACACCTTCTGCCCTGGTCGTCTAGGCTGCCCCAGGTGCCCCCCAATGTGGCAGCAAGTGATCTACAGTCCCCCCATCTCCCACCTTGGGAGGGCCTGAGTCCCCTGCTAATGGAGGCTCACAGGCCTGTGTCCTTCAGTGGCCCACCCCCCAAGTGGCCCTGCAAAGAGAAAACTGACCATGTGACCTCCCTGGCCCTGGAAGGACGCACCTCCTGCAGGATGGAGGGATCTGGGAGAAGCCTGGGGCCCGCCCTGAGTTTCCCACAGTCTGGCATGGGAGCCAGACTATCATGGTGCATGCACCCAGTGTGGACGTGGGGAAGTCGGCCCTGAGCCCCAGGCTGTGCAGGGCTCAGGCACAGGTCAGACACTATTCCATCCCCCTGTGATGTAGGCTCTGGCACAGCCCCTGGGCCTCAGTTTCTCCATCTATAAGCATGGAGACTGGTCTTGGATAGTGACATCTGTACTGTGACCTGGGGGCTCTGGGCCTCCAGGGGGGCTGATGAGCAGGGGGTTTCAGGTTATGGGGAGAGGCAGCCCCTAGCACCAGGTCAGCCTTCCACCCTTCCCTTGCCCCGAGCTTTCATGTCACTGGAAGAGGACACAGGTACTTGAAACATCTTGCTCCCTGAGGTCCTGCTGGGTCAGATGCTGTGGGGTCCAGCCTGGGAGCCCCTGGAGGCCATTTCCACTCTCCCTCATTCCCCTGGGACACCACACCCCAGATGGGGACAGACCACAAGGGCCTCTGGCTCCTCCCTGGGGCCAGTCCCCAGGAGGAAGGAGAGGTCTGCTGTCCACCCTGCCCCTGCTGCTTCCACCTCCCACCACCCTTTCTGGTTCGGAGGAAGCAGCTCTTGTCAGTCACCCCCTGGGGGAGGCGCCCTAGGCGTTGCCACTTGCCTGTAGCTGGTACTGAAGCCCAGTGGGTCTGCATATGGCATACCCACCCCCTCCCTACCCCACAGACTAAGAAGACCCTATGAGTCAGTCCCTGAGGGAACTTCCCATGTCCAGGCCTTGGGGACACTGGTGTCAGCTCCTTCAGTTCAGAGCTTCACTGTGCCTTTGAGAGGGCAGGGTCCCCTCTGCCCTTCCCCAACCGCACCCCAGGCCTGACAAGGGTCCCAGTAATCTCTGATGACAAAGAGAGTGTCCTCTCTGTCCTGCTGGTGGGACAGCCCCGCCTCAGCTCTCATCCTAAGAATAGCAATATCGTGGCACTGTTAGAGCCTCTGCCTCATGCCAGCCCCGGCCCCCGCTCTGTGTTGTAACCTCTTCAACCTGCAGAGTGGGGACCCTGCATCTTAAGAGAATGTTGCTCAGAGATCAGTGACCCCAGAGGGGACCCCTGAATGCAGTGTTTAACGGAGCATCTGGGCTCATCAAACCTGGCTGTGTCCCCTTCCCTTCCCTTCCTGCTTTTGGTGTTCTCTCTTCTTTTTTTTTTTTTTGAGACAGTCTTGCTCTGTTGCCAGGCTGAAGTGCAGTGGCATGATCTCGGCTCACTGCAACCTCCCTCTCCCAGGTTCAAGTGGCTCCCCTGCCTCAGCCTCCTGAGTAGCTGGGACTACAGGTGCCCACCACCACACCAGGCTAATTTTTTGTATTTTAGTAGAGACGGGATTTCACCATGATGGCCAGGCTGGTCTCGATCTCCTGACTTCATGATCCACCCATCTCGGCCTCCCAAAGTGCTGGGATTATAGGCATGACCACTGCACCCTGCCTTCTTTTTTCTTTTTTGCAATTTCTTTAAAAGTGATCTGGGTGCTATCATCTTCCTTTGTCCAAATGCCCAGTCCTTGCTGCCGTCCACACTGCCAGCAGACCACCAGGGCACCTGGGTTGGCCAGCCTGGCCTCTGCTGCAGACAACCCTACACATCCCTTTGCTGGGTCAGTGCCCTCAGATGGGGAGACAGAGGCTGGTGGATCCCAGAGAGCAGGAGCTGGAAGTTGCTTGGGACAGCTTTGTGAGAAGGCAACCTTTGAACAGAAGGCGAAGCTCACCAGGCATACAGGGGAGGAAGGGCACGCCGGGCAGAGGGCAAGGCCTAGGCAAAGGTGTGTCAGGCTGCAAGTGTGCCAGGGTGTGGCCCTGGACCAAGCAGCCTCAGAGGAGGGGAGGGAGGCATCGGGCCACCCTGGGCCCTGCGGCGGCGTGGTCTTCCTGGGCCACTGACTGACCGTGACATCTCGTCCCCGCAGGAGCACTACAGCGCCGAGTGCGAGTTTGTGGAGCGGATCCACGAGCTGGGCTATAACACGTATGCGTCACGGCTGTACCGGACGGTGTCCAGTACACCCGGACCCCAGCGGCAGCCCAGCGCGGAGAGACTGTGGTACGTGTCTGTGAACGGCAAGGGTCGGCCACGCAGGGGCTTCAAGACCCGCCGCACTCAGAAGTCCTCCCTGTTCCTGCCCCGAGTGCTGGACCACAGGGACCACGAGATGGTGCGGCAGCTGCAGGGTGACCTGCCCGGACTCCCTGGTAAGGGGGTCCAGACCCGGCGGCGGCGGCAGAAGCAGAGCCTGGATGGCCTGGAGCCCTCACACGTTCAGGCCCCGGGACTGGGCTCCCAGCTGGAGGCCAGTGTGCACTAGCTGGGCCTGGTGGCCACCGCCAGAGCTCCTGGCAACGTCTTGGCGTGGCAGCGTCTTGACTCTGACTCTCCTCCTTGAGCATGTGTCCCCTCGTCCTGCCCCTGCGTCTGGGTTGGCCACTGTTTCCAGAGCCAGCCCAAATCAGGGTCCCAGGGTCCAGCGGGAACTGAAGAGCGCCCCAGTGGGAGCTCAGAGAGGGCTGCCTGCAGTGCAGGACATTTGTGGGTCTGTGGTGTGGCCAGAAGCCCGTGGGCAAGGCTCTCAGTGCCAGCCCCGGCAGACCGACATGTCTCCAGCAGCAACAGCAGGGCAGTGTGGGGCTCTGTGGCATGAAAACATTAAAGTGTTTTATTCCACTCTGCCGTTTGGTAGATGGTGATGCCGGCTGAGTACTTACTGCTTTTGCTGGAACATGCTTGTTTTGAGCACAGCAGAATCTGCGCTGGCACCAGCCTCCCCGGACTCCCTGGTAAGGGGGTCCAGACCCGGCGGCGGCTTTAAGAGGAACACGGTAGTCCCAGAATCGGGCTAAAGGTGCATTTCCATCCCCTGGTTTTAGAAAGTTACGATTGTTTTTGGATGGATGGAAACAAGCTAAGGTGTGTTTCTGCATGTGTGTGCCTCGTGTGTGTGTGCATGGAGAGAAGGATTGTGTATTTCCGAAAGCATGAGTGTGCATGGGGGGACATGCGTTCTTGTGTTAGTGTGTGCCTGTGTATATATATGTATGTAAGTGTGTATGTTCCTGGGTGTGTCTGAGTATGTGATGTGTGTGTGTGTGTGTGTGTGTGTGTGTGGAGAAAGAAAGAGAGAGAGAGGTTTACTTTCTTCTAGAACTCCAGAAAGCTCCTCCCTCTGGAAGCTGTGTGCTTCTCCAGGGACCCTTTCGAGCAGCTGTGTCAGGTCAGGCAGCGCAGAAACTCCTCTCTCCCTGCAAGCTGCTCTTCGGTCCTGTCTTTGCCTAAGAAGGTGAGGCTTGGCCTGGCGCAGTGGCTCACACGTGTGATCCCAGCACTTCCAGAGGCTGAGGCAGGCGGATCACCTGAGGTCAGGAGTTTGAGACCAGCTTGGCCAACATGGTGAAACCGCGTCTCTACTAAAAATACAAAAATTAGCCCGGTGTGACGGCGCATGCCTCTCATCCCAGCTACTCGGGAGGCTGAGGCAGGAGACTTGATTGAACCTGGGAGGTGGGGGTTGCAGTGAGCCAAGATCGCACCATCGGACTCCAGCCTGGGGGACAAGAGCAAGACTGAGTCTTAAAAGAACACAAAAAAAGAAGGTGAGGCACAGAGAGGCGATTATTCAGTGGCCGGGCCTCGCCTTGGACTAGGCGCCTCCTCACACCTGCTCCCCAACAATGGCATGGGCACTGTCACCTGGGCGAGCTGAGGTAAGAGCCGGTGTGGGCAGCGTGCTCAACTCTCCCAGCACCTGGCAGGGTGGGCAGGGCCCAGGTGAGGAGCCTGTGCTGAGCCTGGGGCCATGAGGACCATGGCTCTGTGCTCCCATTCCCTTCCAGGGCTCAGAGAGCCCAGGGTCGGAGATCCCACCATCACAGAGCCCAGGGTCACAGAGCCCAGGGTCACAGAGCCCAGAGTCACAGAGCCCAGGGTCAGAGAGCCCAGGGTCGGAGATCCCACCATCACAGAGCCCAGGGTCACAGAGCCCAGGGTCACAGAGCCCAGAGTCACAGAGCCCAGGGTCACAGAGCCCAGGGTCACAGAGCCCAGAGTCACAGAGCCCAGGGTCAGAGAGCCCAGGGTCACAGAGCCCAGAGTCACAGAGCCCAGGGTCACAGAGCCCAGGGTCACAGAGCCCAGGGTCACAGAGCCCAGAGTCACAGAGCCCAGGGTCAGAGAGCCCAGAGTCACAGAGCCCAGGGTCAGAGAGCCCAGAGTCACAGAGCCCAGGGTCAGAGAGCCCAGGGTCACAGAGCCCAGGGTCAGAGAGCCCAGGGTCACAGAGCCCAGAGTTACAGAGCCCAGAGTCAGAGAGCCCAGAGTCACAGAGCCCAGGGTCACAGAGCCCAGGGTCACAGAGCCCAGGGTCACAGAGCCCAGGGTCAGAGATCCCAGACTCAGAGAGCCCAGGGTCAGAGAGCCTATGGTCACAGAGCCCAGACTCGAAGGCCTAGGGTTAGAGACCCCTGCCTGGTCACTGCACACTTGCCAAACGCACAGGGAGGCTGGGCTCCTCACTGGCATGTGTGCAACACAAGTGAAAAGTCTTGGTGCCTCCTTCAGCCCCCAGCACATGTCAGATTTCCCGGAATCGCTCCCTCAAAGGGTTGAAGATTCATGGCAGTCAGCAGGAGCAGTGCGCAGGCTGAGCTCTGCTCTGGGTTTTGCTGTTTCTCCAGAGTGAGATGGGGCTGCCATCACTCCCAGCCTGCAGATGATGGCCCTGAGGCCTGGCGAGGAGAGCTTGCCCAGGGGCTGTGTGGATACAGGGGAAGCCGTGACAGTCAGTGCTGCAGGATCAGCAGATGGTCCCTGGTGCAGGCGCAGGAGACCCTGGGGGCTCTTGTTTAACCTGCAAAACAGCTTTGACAAGAGAATGTAGATTTTTTGCAGCTGACAGCTGTGCTGGGGTCACCTTTCTCCCCACACCAGAGTCCAAGGGGCTTCATTTTGTGTGTGCATTAGGGGGCTGAATTATGTCCCCTCCCCAGAGTTCATACATTGAAGTCTTAATCCCAGTACCTCATCATGTGACCTTATTTGGAACTACGGTCATTACAGATGCAGTTGGTGAAGATGAGGTCACACAGGAGTAGAATGAGCCCTGCATCCATTGTGACCAGGGTCCTCCTTAAAGGACATGTGGACACAGCCATGCACACAGGGGGACGCCATGAGAGCGTGAAGGTGGGGACAAGGGGGATGCTCCTACAAGCCCAGGAGTGCCAAAGTTTGCCAGCAAACGCCAGCACCTAAGGGACAAGAAAGGAACAGACTCTGAGCCACAGCCTGAGAAGAAGCCAAGCCTGCCGACACCCCGGTCTTGAACTTGCAGCCCCAAGGCCTGCAGATGACAAACGTCTGTTTCCGTCGCCCACCCTGCGTGGGGCTGTGTTACCATAGCTTGAACATCAGGCACCAAGGGCAAGGAAGCTGCTGGTCTCCAAAAGGAGAGTGAACCCACTTTTGCTGGATGAAGGGAAGGGGAGAGAAGGCGGGACCCAGGCTGAGAGTGCAGGCTCCTTGGGGGGGTTCAGAGGATGCCACTGCCTCAGGTGCCATGGTGGGAACTCCTGCTTCCTTACACACAGGAAGGGCTGGAGGCAGAATTCTACTAAAAGGAAAAAGGTATGGGGGTTTGGGGGGGCCTGGGACCCAGCATCCATTGCTGTTAGGTGGTTCACCTGCTCCACGTGCGCTCGGGACAGGCAGTGCCTGGGGACCCCACACCTGTGGCTCTGTGGGCAGATGCCCTCTGAGTCGGGAGAGGCTGCCCCAGGGGCTCCAGGGACAGTGACCTCCCTGTTTGCATTTGCATGACCCAGAGGGAACCGGAAGGGAGAGAAAGAGGCTGAGCAGGTGGGGCGGGCCTTTGCCTGGTGAGTCTCTGGGACTTTGGGTCCAGGACCTGTCAGGAGTAGGAATGGAAACATTATACGGTCTATGAAAAATGGTAAGGTGGCCGGCTGCGGTGGCTCACACCTGTAATCCTAGCACTTTGGTAGGCTGAGGCGGGCAGATCACTTGAGGACGGGAGCTCGAGACCAGCCTGAACAGCATCGAGAAACCCCATCTCTACTAAAAATACAAAACTAGCCAGGCTTGGTGGCAGGCGCCTGTAATCCCAGCTACTTGGGAGACTGAGGCAGGAGAATCACTAGACCCAAGAAGCAGAGGTTGCAGTCAGCTGAGCTCACACCACTGCACTCCAGCCTGGGTAGCAGAGTGAGACTCTGTCTCAAACAAAACAAAACCCACAAAAATTAGCTAGATGTAGTGATGTGCACCTGTAGTGCCAGCTACTGGGGAGGCTGAGGCACAAGAATTGCTTGAACCCGGGAGGCAGAGGTTACAGTGAGCCGAGATCATGCCATTACACTCCAGCCTGGTCAACAGAATGAGACTCTGTCTCCAAAAAAAAAAAAAAAAAAAAAAAAAGGAAGGACATTCTGACACACATTACAACCTGGAGGACATTGTGCCGGGTGACAAAAATACAATTTCACTTAGATGAGATCCCTGGAGTAGTCAAATCCAGAGACAGAAAGTAGAATGGTGGGTGCCAGGAGCTGGGGGAGGGAATGGGGAGTTAGTGTTTGATGGAGAGACAGTCTCATTTTGGGAAGATGGAAAAGTACTGAAAGTAGGTGACAGTGATGGTGATGATGGTGATGGTGATGATGGTGATGGTGATGGTGATGATGATGGTGATGATGGTGATGGTGACGATAGTGATGGTGATGATGGTGATGGTGACGGTGATGGTGATGGTGATGATGGTGATGATGGTGATGGTGATGGTGATGATGATGGTGATGGTGATGGTGATGATGATGGTGATGATGGTGATGGTGATGATGTGATGGTGATGGTGATGATGGTGGTGATGGTGATGATGGTGGTGATGGTGCTGATGATGGTGGTGATGGTGATGATGGTGATGGTGATGGTGGTGATGGTAGCAGAGTGATGGTGATGGTGATGGTGATGATGTGATGGTGGTGGTGATGGTGCTGATGGTGATGATGGTGATGGTGATGATGGTGATGGTGGTGATGGTGATGGTGATGGTAATGGTGGTGATGGTGGTGATGATGTTGGTGGTGGTGTTGGCGGTGGTGGTGATGATGATGGTGATGATGGTGATGGTTATGATGGTACTGATGGTGATGATGGTGATGGCGATGATGGTGATGATGGTGATGGTGATGGTGCTGATGATGATGGTGATGGTGATGATGATGATGGCGATGGTGCTGATGGTGATGATGGTGATGGTGATGATGGTGCTGGTGATGGTAATGGTGGTGATGGTGGTGGTGGTGATGATGGTGATGGTGGTGGTGGTGATGATGGTGATGGTGATGGTGGTGATGGTGATGATGGTGATGACGGTGATGGTGATGATGGTGATGGTGATGATGGTGATGGTGATGATGGTGATGGTGGTGGTGGTGATGATGGTGATGATGGTGATGGTGATGTTAATGGTGGTGGTGGTGATGGTGGTGGTGATGATGGTGATGGTGGGATGGTGGTGGTGGTGGTGGTGATGTTGATGGTTACAGGTTGTGGAAGTCCTCAACACACTCAATCGTACACTCCGCAGAACCTTGTCGGCA